AAGCTGTCTGCAATTACTGTAAGTTCAAATCCCACCAGGCTCAAGGTTGACTCAGCCTTCCATCCTTTCTAAGGTAGGTAAAATGAGGACCCAGATTGTGGGGGCAATAAGCTGACTTTGTATAAATATACAAAAGTATGAAGGCTATTGCTTAACGCATTGTAAGCCGCCCTGAGTCTCTGGAGAAGGGTGGCATATAAATCAATTTTTTTAAAAAAAATGTGGCCTTTTACAACCTGTGGACTTCAACTCCCAGAATTCCTGTCCACAGGTTGTAAAAGGGCCACATTTGCCCAGCCCTGGTATAATGGAAATAAAATATCAAAAGCAATACGTGCCATGTGCATAACTGCAACTGAAAAGAAGGTTCGGAACAGTCGCTACCAAACTCTTGTATTTTTAAGGGTGCCACCATCCAGCCATAGATGCCTCCTTTTACCCTTAGTTTATGATTAACAAATATTTCAATAGTCCACACCTCAGAAAAAGGTTTCGGCTGAGCTAATTGTACAGGTAGCCAGAGAACTGTTGGGGATATCTGATAATGGATGAAGGAGTCAACTCTTTGTTGACTGGCTTAGTTGATAAGTAAAAGTCAGAGCCCATATCTCACAAGCTCCATTTTGAATTTGCTCTTTCTCAGGGAAGCGTCTTCTGTTTCTTATCCTGCGCAAGAAAATGCTAGTGATCATGCTGAGGGTTTTAGCCACTCTGACAGCAGTTCTAGGTAAGGCTTATACAGTTTGGCAGCTGAATTCAAAACAAGGGGGAAACGATGGTTTTGTTCTTCTAAGTCCTTCAACTCTGAACATGAATGTAATATTTGGGGATGCAGAAAAGTTGAGGATGGACGTTCAAAGGTATCGCCTTTTGTGATTCTGTTTTGGAGAATTCACAGTTCTCCAATGTGTGTGTAGTTTTATCCCTCTATTTCTGGATGCCGTTGGAATTCTGCTTGGTAGTGGGATTTTGGTGGAGATGATACCTTTCAAGACTAGGCTCTTTCTTTCGGTGGCTTCGGATGCCATAAAAAGGTTCTTCTCTTCCAGAATCTCAGAAATTAATGCCACTCTGATTTTGTGCTGAATTCTGGGATTTATTGAGCAATTACGTTAATTGCATGTTTGACCTGGCTTTTACAAAAAGAGTTTATGCATGTTTTAAGAAATGGGCTCCTTAGTGTGTCAGCTCAAGTGCTTACTAGGCAGGGAAGTGATCTGGGAAGGAAAACAAATATAGAAATTCAACTTTTGGAACGGTTGCAGGAACTGGGTATGGCCAGTCTATACTAGGGGTGACATGATAGCAGTATTCCAGTATTTGAGGGGATGCCACAAAGAAGAGGTGGGGGGTCCACTTATTTTCTAAAGCACCGGAGGGCAGGAAAACAGTGGATGGAAATTAATCAAGGAGAGAATCATCCTAGAACTAAGGAGAAATTTCCTGACTGAGAACACAATTAACCAGTGGAACAACTTGCCTCCAGAAGTTGTGGATGCTTCATCACTGGAGGTTTTAAAGAAGAAACTGGACAGCCACCTGTCTGAAATGGTATAGGGTCTCCTGCTTGAGCAGGGGGTTGGACTAGAAAACCTCCAACCTCCCTTCCAGTTCTATTCTGATTGATTGAACTAAGCAGAAGGTTAGAAATTTGCTCTTATGAGGTCAATGTAGGTAGACAATCTACTCAAGCTGAATCTGGGCAGATGGAGTTCTGAGAGGTTACCTTTGGAGTGTCTGGTGCACTCCCTTTGGGATTACCTTTGGAGCAGCCCTCATTCTGGCACATCGTCCTGGAAGAAATGCAAGTGGGGATACTTCTGGATCCTTGGTCTCTAAGATAAAGATAGTTACCAAGGGTTGTTCTGTCAATTCCATCCTTTCCAGAAAGAAAATTGCCTCGATTTCCTTTTACCTGTGGTGTAAAAATGCAGATTTCCAGATTGTACTCCTCCTATGTGCTCTGCATGAGCTGAGTCTGGCTCTAGTCCAGAGAATTCATTTAGAGATCCCAGGATCTGGGTTGATCTTTTCAGAGGTATCCACCCTGTTGGAGAGAAAGGTGTGTTCATATATATGTGAATGGTCTTGAAAGCAGGCATCTAACCAGAGCAAAGGTTAATGAGCAAGCTCCTTACCTGGACTGAAAGAAAAGGTGAACTAAAGAAACTTAAGAAGGGATAAGAAATAGATGGATCTTGGCTCCTACTATTTCCATCATTTTAGGAGATAGAGCCTTCAAAACTTTGGAGAAGAAAGAAAGAAAGAGAGAAAGAAAGAGAAAGAAAGAAAGAAAGAAAGAAAGAAAGAAAGAAAGAAAGAAAGAAAGGATCAAGATGGAGCTAACATTTGGAGTCTCATAGACCAAACAGGCAGAATGAAAGAAAAAGAAGGAACAAGGAATTAAACCTCCAACTCTTGGTTCACTCCATAGATATCCTCAGGGTAGTTCCATAGTTTTTTATGTGCGTCACTTGGGCAACATACCACTTTGACATCATGACATTTTAGACACCCACTGTATCTTCTGCTCCATTCCACTTGCTTCTTGCCATCGGGAGCCTGAAAAGTGCCACTACTACTACAGTCGTGCCAGGAGCACCAAAGCCCTTCCAGGTTGAAAGGATTGAACGGTGACATCACCGTTGCCTAGGGGATGCCCATTTGGGGGCTCTTTTCATATCCTTGTTAAGCTGCCCACCGAAGTGGCATCTATCTATTTATTTGAGATCACCCACTTTCGAACTGGTCAGTCAGCAGGAGCTGGGGTGTGTGACGGAGCTCACCCCATCCCGCAGCAGCAACAGGGTCTCAAACACAAGCCTGCTGATTGTCAGCCCAGTGTCCTAAACTCATGAGCCCTGAAAAGTGCTATAGAGGCAAGCTGGATTCACACATGTCAAGCCACACACAAAAAGAGAGATAATGGAAAGCAAACTCGGTGTGTTTTGCAAATGAAGCTTTAGCAGATGGAGAAGAGATGGCTTCTGAACAAAATACAAAGAGATGGGATCCCTCGTTCTACCCTCTTCACTCACTTAAATCCAAGTTGCCACAGGATCAACTTGCTAGATTTGGGGATCAAGCCTTTTCTGGAGATGGCTCAGTTCCTTGAAATCCATTCCTTGCCTGCTGAGTTGATCTCTCAGGCAAGGAGCCAATCTCTCTACTGACTTTTTAAAAAGTTGCCTTTTAAAGCAGGCCAATAATTGTTGATTTTAATTTCTGGTTCTTTTAACCGTTCTTTAATATCTAGGCTTTTAATCTACATCATCCTGTAAATTGCCAAGAAATCTTGGTCATATACTAAGATAGGTTATTTGATAGCAAATTCTTGATCTCAGCTTTCCCCATCAGATGAACATCCTCTTCAGATGTTTTGATCACAATCTCAGGGTTCCCAGCCAATACGAACGTCTATAATTGCCTATCTACAAAAGATTTTCAGGCTCTGCTGAGAACTATAAACGAACACTGCAGATGCGTGGCGGGAGTTGGGGGACCTTGTTTTTCTCAAAACCACATTTTTCACCATTATATGTAAAAATGAGCTTGTGAATTTGTGATTCGAAATGAAAATCAGTTATGCAAAGAAGACAACCAACATTCTCACTCAGCTTGGACCAACCATTGCATACACCCATCATCACACTGTGCTCTCTATATTGTCATTTATATGCATGTTTATCACTATTATTAATTTGAAAAAAAGGCATGAAACTTGGATAATGTTGGTTTGGATGATAGGTCGAGATGTGCAGTCTGACCTAGAATAACAGTGTTAGAAGGGACCTTGGAGGTTTTCTAGTCCAACCCCTGCTTAAGCAGGAGACCCTAAACTCGGCGAACCTTTTCAGCACCGAGTGCCAAAACAGGAGTTTGTGTATGTGCAGAGGAGTGCCGGAAACCAGAAGAGAAACTCCCCGGCGCACATGCGCATGCCGGGAAGCTGAGCTTCTGGTTTCCAGTGTGCACATGCGTACTGGTCACATGGTCTTCCGGTTTTTGGTGTGCATGTGCGCATGAAGACCAGCCTGAGTGGCGTAGGAGGCTAATGCCTCCTACTAAGGCAGCATTTAACATCCAGCTGCCTGCAATGACTGCGAGTTCAATTCTCCCCAGGCTCAAGGTCGACTCAGCCTTCCATCCTTTCTAAGGTAGGTTAAATGAGGACCCAGTTTGTGGGGGCAATAAGCTGACTTTGTATAAATATACAAAAGGATGAAGGCTATTGCTTAACGCATTGTAAGCCGCCCTGAGTCTCCGGAGAAGGGCGACGTATAAAAATAAAATAAAAATAAAAGCTGGTCAGTGCGCATGTGCGTGCTGGAACCCGGAAGAGCAACAGGCAATGGCTGGCGTGCCTGGAGGGTTGGCTCTGCGTGCCACTTGTGGCAAGCGTGCCATAGATTCGCCATCACTGCCCTAAACCATTCCGGACAAATGGCTATCTAATTTCTTCTTTAAAAACTTGAAGACCTCCAAGGCCAATTCTGTTACCAGGGCATTTTAGACTTTATTACCAAAACAAGAATTCATAAATATTTCTTTATGACTAAGTAGAAATTCTATGACCTTAATTAAATGTTAAAGCAAACGCAACAAAATAAAATTTTATTTTGTCTTGTCCCAGAGACTTTTCTGGGGGGATGTGACCCCCAACTTGGCTTGGGGAAAAGTTGTGCATTTAAGTTTCATTAGCATCCGTTTCTGGTAGAATGGTTTCTGGTAGAATGGGTGGAGCACCCAAACTCCATTGATAAGGGTGGCCATAGGGATATGGCTAAAAAGTCAATATAGTAGCTGGGACCTGTGTGGTTGAAGCCCTCCTCCTCATGTGCAGCACATATAAAACAGAAGCTGTGCTTTGATCACATAACCGCATAACCTGATTTTTTAAAATGTTCCCCTACCATGGATGCCTCTATTCACTGATTTCTCCTGCACATTCAAGTGTCTATTTTCTTGAATTGAGAGAAGGAAATGCAGGAGGTAGGTACATGGTTATGGGTGAGATGGCTATCAAAGTATTCCACCTGAACATTTCCTTCTTCTTTAACCACTTCCTTTAGAGGAAAAAGGAAGTTTCTGGATTTCTAACTCTGCTTTGAACTAATCAGAGGTGATGGTTGCTTGAGGTTCAGATGACAGAATAAGCCTCAAATCATGATTGAAAGGCTGCAGGAAAGATGGTGGTAACTCTTCAGAGTTGGCTGTAGTGTTTACCAACCTCAACAGCTTTAGATTGTGTGGACTTCAACTCCCAGAATTCCCCAGCCAGACAGCATATATTCTGGAAGTTGAAGTCCCAACATCTTAAAGTTGCTAAGGTTGAAAAAATTTGGTTTATTGTACCATGCAAACAAACTCTATACTTCCAGATACATATTGCTAGAAACCATGGTTTGCTTCAACCACAATTTGTCCACTAAGGATTTTCCATGATATTAATCCATCCACTCTAACTTGTTAAGCTATAATAGTATAAAAATATAAAATACTTAAACAAAAGGGTTCTATTAAGGTTCATCTAATGGGTGAACCCAACCTACCGCTCACTTAGCTATTTGAGTATTAAGTCAGTGCTTCAAAGGCTGGCCACAGTGGCTTCTCAATAACCCCGGAAGTCATAAGGAAAGAGTTAGTAACTCCTCATTTTTCTTCCACCCTCTACCTTAACATTACATAAGAAAAGGGATAACTGGCAAATTTGAGATTCTGCAGAGGGCTTGGCTTGCTACCCCCTTTCCTCCCCTTTGATCTCAGTTGGGTCATTCAAGAAGATGTAAAGATTCTTTTGAGTTGCACTTACGGTAACTTCTAGGGCAGGGGTCAGCAACCTGCGGCTCTGGAGCAGCATGTGGCTCTTTTACCCCTCTGCTGGGGCTCCCTGTCATTCAAAATATCACTCACAGCTGCCAATGTGTGACACTTGCCGGCACGCGATTTATTGAGCTTTTCAACCCCCAGTAGGCCAACCATGGATAAATCCAAGAAAAGAAAAGTTTCAGAAGAAAACAGAACATTTAATTCAACTACATATGCTAGTTTTGTAGCCGCTCAAGAAATAGTCAGGCACGGGAAGGGTTTTGTGGCTCCCGGTGTTTTCTTTTCTGTGGGAAACAGGTCCAAATGGCTCTTTGAGTGTTTAAGGTTGCAGACTCCTGTTCTAGGGACTCCACTAAGTAGAGTGTTTGTATTGCTGCTTTTAGGAAAAGAACAGGACTTTCCAATATTTGATTAGACTTTCCATCTGCTGTTTCATTCAGCCGCAATTATGAGATTATTAAATTGACTTTTGTTATCTAAATCTTCTCACTTCTCAAATGTATTTACTGGCAAGGCCCTACATAACAGTTGTTAAGTTTGTTTTTGCATTTCATAAGGCGAGACTCAGATGACGTCTGCATACAGGTAGTCCTTGACTTACAACAATTCATTTAGTGACCGTTCAAAGTTACAACAGCACTGAGAAAAGTGACTGAGGATCATTTTTCACTCTTATGACCATTGCAGTATCCCCATGGTCATGTGATTTACATTCGGATGCTTGACAACTGGTTCATATTTATGACGGTTGTAATGTCCTGGGGTCATGTGATCCTTTTTTGTGACCTTCGGACAAGCAAAGTCAATGGGGAAGCCAGATTCACTTAACAACTGAGCAAACTAATTTATCAACTGCAGTGATTCACTTAACAACTGAGGAAAAAATAGGTCGTAAAATAGGCCAAAACTCACTTAACAAATGTCTCAACAACAGAAATTGTGGACTCAATTGTAGTCGTAAATTGAGGGCTACCTGCATTTTCTAGAGCAACATTCCTATCTGATTTATTAATTCATAAAAGTAAAGCTTTCTTTGAATTGAATTGGAATTAAACTTGATTCCTATTGACTTCAAGGACATATCCAGGCTCTTTTCTTGGCAGGAATTTGCTTCACTTTCTAGCTCAGAGAAGGTGTGTCAGATAGTCCCACCTTCTGAGATGTTTGGATAAAAACTGGGATATAAATCCAAATAAAAAGCCTGGCAACCAAATATGGATTAGTCTACTCTATTGTCTTCCCCATAGTTACTTATGGTTATAAAAGTTGATGGCATAATATATTACTTGGAATTAAACTAAGTTCAAAAATATTGTTGCTTAACGCATTGTTAGCCACCCTGAGTCTCCGGAGAAGGGCGGCATATAAATCAAATCAAAAAAAAAAAAAGGTCTTTGTTTAGTAACCATTTGCAATTACAACAGTGTTGGACCATAAGTTTACTATCAATCCTTCCACTTACCATCTTTGCATAATGCTGTCACAATTTACTTGTTGCTGTTGTGTCTCCCTCCACAGAGACACTATGGATCTGCCTTTTCTGAGATAGATTTTGGTGTCAAGGCTATTAATCCCTTGATCCCATTATCTGCTTTTTTTTCATCTCTTCCATGAACATGGTCCCTGAATTTTCTTTCTAAATACATGGCTAGGAAGATAAGGGCTATAATAATTATCCCGTCAGGTTGGCGTATAATCCGAAATATCTGCATTTGGCTGATGCACTTTAACTGGTCAAAGAGCCAGAACTTTATCTCTGAGACAGAGATTGGAAAGGGGCAACATTTTGGTTCCTTAATATAACAAGACATTTGATTGATTTTTGCCTAATGGATTGATTTTCCACAGGTCTTGTGAAGGGTATAATTGTGACCATGCCAGAGAGTGCTCTCAATACAACGGTTGGTGCCAACATCACTCTTCCTTGCATGTATAATCTAGCAACTATTCCTGATATGATTCAATGGAATTTTTTCGGCGGTGATCTGAAAACTCCTTCAGTAAGATATTAAGATATTTTATTTCAAACTTGAACTGTTTCTTATTGCCTGACTGCTTTGGATTCCAAATGCTACTCTGAACACAATCTAAAGTTGTTGGGTCCTTGGTGTTCTCTGAACTTGGGTGTTTTGTTATGAAACATTTGCAAGAAAACAACCAACCTCAGAGAGCACCAAGGACCCCGCAGCTCAATCCCAAGTTACAAATATTATCTTCTGTGGATACACTATAAAGTTATTGTAGCTCATTAGAATGGTCTCCACTGAGTTAGATAAAATCAGATAACTGTTTTTATTTACAAGGAGAGACCAGAGATGTACTTCAGCAGAGAAGTAATGTGACCAAAGCAATCATATTGCCATTATATGATTCTTTAGATTGATCCATTTTAAGCCCAGAGAAGCAATCAATTTTGGATTCTAAAGGCTCTCTTGTTTGCTGTTACACTTAGAATGCTAAAAACTTCAAATTTGGGCGTGCTATCAGATATTCTTCATCAATTAATATCCCTTCCCCAGGGCAGAATCTACGATGTACATTATTTATCCCCAGATAGGACTAGCTGAGCTACAAAAACCAGGGAAATATTTGTACCCTGGTCTTTGGTTCTGAGGACACTTCAGATCTTCTCTGGCTATACTCTACTTCCTAGATCATTGGAGTAAGGGGCCCATTTTTTATTAGTCTATATTTTTGCAGCATACCAGTAAAATTTATTCATTCATTTATTTTTATCCCACCGTTACTATTTTTGGAAATAACTCAAGGTGAACATATCCAACACACATTTCCAATGGACCTTCCTCTTCTTATGTACTTGTGAGGTGGGTTGGGTTGAGACAGAGTGACCGGTGCAAAGTCACCCAGTTGGCTTTCGTGGCTAAAGTGGGACTTGAACTCACAATCTCCCACTTTCTAGCCTGGTGCTTTAACTTAGTATTGGCAACTACCTCTTCAAGATGGGTAGAAGTAAAATCGCAGGATAGGAAGCTAAAATAAGCAGCAGTCCTGAGACTGAGACCTCCAATCCTGGAGCCCTGATAATGAATTCCTAATGGTGACTTAAGGACCAAAAAGGCGATAGAATGAAAGTCCCTATTGCTCACATTAAAAAAAAAGTATGCGTTGTCTTTTTTAAAATCCAAATCACCAACTCATAGACTAGAACATTTCTACTCAAATACAGCCATCAACATGCCTTTATAGGGGTGAAAAATCTACCAGTCATTGTGAAAAGACTGTGTCTATCACAGATACACGGGGAAGATGTAGCGGGATTCACAAGGTAAGAACATGAAAGCTATAATAACAATAAGGTTATTTGGGATTTCTAATATGCTCTTAATACAGGTAGTCCTCAATTTATGACTGTAATTGAGCTTGGCTATCAAGGTCCTGAATCATAATGGTTCTAAAAAGACCAACCCAATTTTATGATTTTTTTCCAGTGGTTGTTATGCAAACACTGCAGTTTTTAATCCAATGGTTCACTGTGGGTTGGTTTTGCTGAAAACCAGAAATAAACGCTGCTTTTCAGCAAAAAACATCATAAAACACAATTACATAATCCCGAGATGCTGCGAACAGCTGTTTGTTACTGAGTGTTGTGATAAGGTGACCGCAGGGAGGAGAGATGGTCATTGGAATTTTGGAACTGATCATAAGTCGAGGACTAACTTCATGTGAGATTCTGAAATTCAGTTCTTTGAAATGATAGTGTTTAACTCACCTGTCCCTCAAAATTTCTCTTCATAAGTCACAACTATTAAAAGGCCTCTTTATTTTTTGTTGGTGACACATAGTAATGGAGGTATCTAAAAACAGCGTATGGTATGCAAAATGTAGATAGAGGTGATTTCTCCACATCTCTTTGAGGGAGATGAGTGGCTCAGAAATGTGAAAAATAAATAAATAAAACAAACGACCTGAGGGCAAGACAAAAAATAATGGATGGAAACTTATCGAAAAGAGAATCCAACCTAAAATTATGGAGAATTTCCCTTTCAGTGAGAACAATTAATCCGTAGAATGGCTTGCCTCCAGAAGTAGTGGGTGATCCATCACTGAAGGTTTTTAAGTAGAGACTGGACAGCCATTTGTCTCTGGTTTTCTTTCTATATTCACTTTAAGAATTTTCTGTATTAAGATATGAATCCTACTCCAATATTTCTTTGCTTTATCACACGTCTTTACATTTACATTTCCAACACTCATTTGAAATACCTTTATACATTCCTGACAACTTATCTGGAGTTAAATACCAAGGATACATCATCTTATAGAAATTTTCTTTGAAGTTACTGTTTAATGTAAATTTTAAACCTTTATTCCACATATTCTCCCATTGTTCAGGCAGTACATTATATCCAGGGGTGAAATGCTACTGGTTCGCACCAGTTCGGGCGAACCGGTAGCAATGGCGGCGGGTGGTTTGGAGAACCGGTAGCAACGGCAGCGCGAGGCTCCGCCCACCTGCCTGGATGTCGTTTACTTCCTGGTTTTAAACAGGAAGTAACCTGTTTTTTACCCTCTGTGCATGTGGAGAAGGCTTTGCACATGCGCAGAGGATCCAAAATCTCACGTGATGGGCATGCGCACTTCCAAACCAGTAGGGAAGGTAAGTAGATTTCACCCCTGATTATATCCAAAGTTCCTTGCCCACTGAATCATACAGTGCTTTACTTGTTCATTTTCCAGATTTAAATTCAATAACATTTTATAGGCTTTAGCAGTAATATGTTCATCACTACCACACAATAGGATTTCCAATTCATTTTTAACAAAATCATCCCTATAGTTTATGGAACAATGTATTCCATAAGTGAGTTAGCTAATTCACTGAGTTTTATATAAACAAGGATAGGACCACTGCAATCCAGTATGCAAATTGTGGACTCCACCAGGGCGCCATGTGAATGGGATGCAAATTGAAATTTGCAATTGAAATCAGCAATATCCATACATGCCTGACTCTGCATGTATACACTCAGTTACCAAAATCAGAATGTATATCCATGACCAATAGTTCCTCATTCAGAATACCCAAATTGTGGAAAATCTCAATTAGTCTGAGCCATGAATTCAACATTTCCGTGAAATTACATTATTATTATTTTAGTTCCGCTGATTTTTGCCTCTCTCCTTCTGGAGAAAAATCATTGGAAGATTCAAATTTGGGTCTCGTGGCTCAGACTAACTTTCACGCATATGAGCTTCATTTTCTTTCTTTGTTTCTAATGTATGCAGCCAGGTTTGGGGTGTAGCCTGCTTTTGGTCAACCGACATTAAGAAAGATTTTTTGTAAATAAATTCCAATGTTTGGAGTGTTTGGTTTAATAAAACACAATCCATCAAATCTGGAAAATACAATGGAATCCCTGAAGATTGATAATGGGGAATTTCCCTAGTAAAAAATGAATTTATCTAAACATCTAAATGTTTAATGTATTTATCTAGGAAAATTAGATTTTTCCCCTAGTCTTGTTTTTTTTATTATTATTATTTGCTATGCTCAGACCCTTCTAGCTATTAATTGCATGACAGCCACTTGTCCAGTGCAAAATTGCTAGGCTATAATCTGTGGGTTGTTAAAAAGCACTGTGGAGTTACTGTCCCCCTTGCAGAGTGTGAATTGTTCCCAGGGAGGATCCGCTTCTTTGCAGTTTACTCATTGAGTAACTCTGTCCAGCATCCATAGTGGAATTAGATTCCCAAGTTCTCTTCTTTTGGGAAAAGGAAAATCATAAAATGAGTTGGAAGGGACCTTGGAGATCATCTAGTCCAATCCCCTGCTCAAGCAGGAGACCCTACTCTACTCCATTTCAGACAAGTGGCTGTTCAGTCTCTTCTTAAAAGCCTCCAGTGATGGACCACCTACAAATTCTCAAGACAAGCTGTTCCACTGATTAATTGTTCTGTTAGAAAATTTCTCCTTAGTTCTAGGTTGCTTCTCTCCTTGATTAATTAAACACAGCATCATTTTGCGAATATAATAAATGCATGCATCTTATTTCTGTGGAGTTGCTTGCAGATTTAAAATAAGAAAACAGAGAATATGACTGATATGGACAGCCTTTTATTCAGGTTCATCCCCTTTGGCAAAAATAACAGCTATGATCCCCATAGCCAGGATTTTTTTCCCTTACTCTTCTTTGCAGAACCTGTCTAGTTCAGAAATAATTTTTAAATCTCCTTCCATGCATTAGATGAGAGTTCCCCAACATTTCCAGCTTTGCAGATCAGGGGTGGGGGAGAGGGGATTGCTCTGCATGAACCGCCGGCAAGTGTGTGTACGCACATGCAGCTCTGTTTGTGCAAGTGGTGTGCACGCACACCTGCCACTCAGTGGAGTGTGTGCATATGCGCTCTGTTGTGGCCCGCCGGCAGCCAGCAGAGCTGGCAGCAGAGTCAGACAGTGAGGAGGTTGGGGAGGAACTTGGGCCAGTCCTGGGGGCTGGGAAAAGCTTGGACGAGGGCTTTGTGTCGGAGGCAGAGAGGGAGATAGACAGCAGGGAGGCAGAGGAACAACTGGAGCCTGTTCCCAGTGTGTGCATGCGCAGAACTGCCAGAAGACAAGAACAACTCAGAAATCAGGGTCGACTCGGGAGTAAAGCCACACCTTGGAGGTGATTGGCCCCTCCCATAGGAAACAAAAGAGGAGCAAACAGAGGCTTTTGCAGGAAACCATTCATTCATTCTGTGACTCTGAGAGACTCTGTTCCAAGTTTTGCCTTGTTGGAAACAATTTACGTGGCAGCTTGCCAAACGAGATAAGGTCTGTGTTGATAAATATTCCTTTGAAAAACTGTTCGGACAAACGTTGCTGATTGAATGAACGTAATTCAGAGTCGTGTAAATAAAAGAGGTTTTGCTAGTAATTCCTACCTCCTGCTTGTTAAGGGAGCCAGAACACGCTCGCCTGCTGCTCGTGCAAGTGAGGATGAGTGTGCATGAACACTTGCTGGCCCTTTCCGTGGCCCAGTTGCAAACCCCTCATGGCCTAGTAGTGTGCTGCAGCCCACAGGTTGGGGATCTCGGCATTAGATGCCAGAGATCTGCTCCGCAGATTTTAAGAATTAAGTGAGAGGGATGTAAAGGCCATTCTAAATGTTTCCCCCCCCCCTGTAAATACTTCATAATTAATCTGGAACTATGTTTTGGACCATAATCCTGCTGATGTATCCCAGGAAGCCCAAGAATATTTCCGCATTAGATGGAATCTAGTCGATCAACTAGTTGATCAGTGATGCATGCAACACCAATGTACAATTATCACATGTGGAATTCTAATATATATATATATATATTACTGTTTTGTGAATTGACTTGGCAACTTATCTTTTTTTACAGGCAGGCTCAAAATCAGGAGGAAAACAAATAACCTCAATACTTTTTTCTTCCAGCACCAATTTAATGAATGTTAAATTCTGTTTCACAGGTTTATATGTGGCAGCGTGGCACGCCCTATTACTTTGGACAGTTTAAAGGCCGGAGTCGAGTAGCAAACAACACAGGAAATGCAAGCCTCACCATCTTCAACATGCAGACCTCAGACACCGGGACCTATAGGTGTTCGGTTTATAACTTTCAGGACGCTACCGCAAGTGAAGGAGAAAAATCAGTGTCGGTCAGCGTGCTAGGTACTTATTTCTCTTTTTTGTCTTGAGCGTATTTCTGTGCTTGTCACTTGCTACATTGAATTAAAGATTCGATCATTGGGTTCCACATCAAGCTAAGCCAAAATGTATTTTGCATTCTGTTCTGGCTTAGCGTATTGAATGTAAGAGCTGTGGTTGCGCAGTGGTGAGAATGCTGTATTGCAGGCTAATTCTGCTCACTACCAGGAGTTTGATCCTGACCGGCTCAAGGTTGACTCAGCCTTCCATCTTTCCAAGGTGGGTAAAATGAGGGGACAGATTGTTGGGGACAATATGCTGACTCTGTAAACTGCTTAGAGAGGGGTGTAAAGAACTATAAAACAGTATAAAAGTCTAAGTGTTAAGTATTCAGTCATTGTCATTGATCAACACTGTTTATGGCGTAGTACAATGTGTAAACCTGGTTAGCCAACAAGCTATGGCTTAAGATGGTATGTGATCTAGTCTATAAATGTTTACTTGAGCTTCTGGTTAACTATCGGCAAAGTTCATATTTTGCATTGAGGTATTATGTGTGTATATCAGATTTGAACTTGTTTCATTGAGGTTTATTAAACAAACTATGATGTAATGCAACAGGCGAGCCAGTAAAAACAAATTTTGAGTGCAGAGAGATAGTACAGGGATAGAATCCATGCAATTGGCTAACCAACCAAATTATGGTTCATGTTATATATATATAAATGCAGTTGGTTGAGATTTATACATTAAACCATGGCTTAACAAGGAACGACTTGGTCCAAGGTCTAAATGTATACTTCCTGCTCAGGATTCCTCTCAGTTCTCCTGCCATCCAAGGAAGGCCATTTGCATTCTTCTTCTAACTCAACATTCCAGAATTATTAAGTCTTTTCTGATCTTGTAGAATTATATATTTTTCTAGAGTAACAGAGTTGTCCCTTTTCACAGTTGGCAATTCTGGGAGTTAAAGTCAACATATCTTTAAATTGCCAAATTTGAAAGTTGCTAGTCTCTATCCACCAATGATATATTTAAAACCTCATTTCTGGAGAATTACTAAAGGGTCTAGAATAGCCATCTCACAAGTTGGGAAGCAGGTGCCCAATGCATCATGAAGGCACCAGACTAGGAAAGATTCCCTTAGAACAGGAGTCACCAACCTTTTTGGCATCAAGGACCAGTTTCATGGAAGACAATTTTTTCCATGGACCAGAGAAGGGGAGGACGGGTGCATAATCTAGATCCCACCCATGCTCAGTTTTGCTCCCTGCCACTCATTTCCAGCTGTGCAGTCCGGTTCCTAACAGGACACGGCCCGGTACTGGTCCATGGCCTGGGGGGTTGGGAACCCCTGCCCTAGAATATAAGAATACAACACAATGAAGACAAAGAGAAATATAATGTTGATTTCACTGCTTTGTTTGCTGTTTTGTATTCCAGTTCCTCCTTCGAAGCCTCTCTGCAGTTTTGGTTCAAGCCATCATCCTAACATTGAAATTGGCCACTTGGTTACTTTAGCCTGCATTTCGGAAACTGGTCTGCCAAAGCCAGCCTACAAATGGTACAGACTAATCGGAGATAAACAGCAGCCTGTTACTGAGTTATACAGTGAGTAGCTTTCTCCTTCCAGTTCCTGTGTAAAGGCTGAGATGCAACAATTCAGCATCTTTTTGCATCGTGGTGACCAGAATTGGACACAGTATTCCCAGTGTTATCTCCCTGCTTTATACTGCATTGTGGAGGCCATACGTGGAATACTATGTCCAGTTCTGGTCATCATGATACATCATGACACTCTAGAACTTGTAATTAGGGATCTGGAAGCTAAAAATACAATGAACATTTGCGGGAACCGGGTATGTCTAGTCGAATGAAGAGAAGACATAGGGGGTGTTATGATAGCAATCTTCCAGTATTTAAGGTGTTGTCACAGAGAAGAGGGAGTTAATTTATTCTACAAAGCACCTGAGGGCAGGACAAGAAGTCACCGGTGGAAGATCTTTAAAGAAAGATCCAAGAATTTTCCTGACAGTGAGAACAATTAATCAGTGGAATGACTTGCTCCAGTGGAGCACTGGAGGTTTTCAAGAAGAGATTGGATAGCCATTTGTCTAAAATGCTTTAGGGCAGTGTTTCTCAACCTTGGTCACCTGAAGATGCGTGGACTTCAACACCCAGAATCCCCCAGCCAGCTCTGCTGGCTGGAGGATTCTGGGAGTTGAAGTCCACGCATCTTCAGGTGGCCAAGGTTGAGAAACACTGCTCTAGAGTCTCCTTCTTCTTCTTCAGGAGATTGGATTAGAAGACCTCCAAGGTCCCTTCCAATGCTATTATTCTATGTTCTATATGGTCTATAAAATGATGGCAACTCTCGGAACTAGGAATTCCCCCCCAAAAGCTTTAAGGATGAGTGGCCTCCTGACCGACAGTAGGATAATCTGTATCAAAGGCGATCTCATTGATAAACACCATCTACTCTTTTCCTGAGATGCTTAAAAGGAGGAGTTTCCATGAAGGGTTGGACTTCAGGGCTGGTAAAGTTCTGTCACCAAGTCTGCTTTTTTATATATTCCATCACGGAAGGCATCAGTCCACACAGCTCTTTAGGGCTACCATAGTCATTTGTCCTCCCCAGAACATATTTTCTTGGAAAGCGGACTTTTTTTCAACAGGGGTCATGCATGTTGTCTCTCAACATCGCCCTGCAATTGTCACTCACCACCTCAGAAATCCCCCTATCCAATGTCCTACATTGATTCCATGCCAATAAAGAAGAATATCTGTAGCTCAGAGTTGAAAGGAGGGGTCCTTGGTGCTCTCTGAGCTTGGCTGTTTTCTTGCAGAGATTTCATTACCCAAACTAGGTAACTACCTAGAACTTTGGGTAATGAAATGTCTTCAAGAAAACAACCAAGCTCAGAGAGCACCAAGGATCCCTGGCTACTAAAGTGGTAGATGCTTGGTGCATCATGTTTCTGTGGCAAATGAGCTCCCTGCCAAGCATGAAAGAGATGACCTTGGGTAGTGGTGGGCTTCTACCGGGCGAACCGGTAGTGGCGGTGGTGGGAGGCTCCGCCCACCAGCCCAGAAGTCATCACGGATGCTCTGTGCATGCGCAGAAGTACCAAGGGTGAGCGAAGCGAGCGCTCCCAGTTCTGAACCAGTAGCGAAGGTAAGAGGAACCCACTACTGACCTTGAGGAAGGAATGAAAGGGCAAAGAAATGGGGCAGGCAGTAGGGAAGTACTTGGAAAATAGAGATTACACAAGTCCTGAGCTTGAATCAAATACACTTATGTGGTCCTCGACTTAAAAAATTAAAAGCCCAAAAATTTCTGTTGCTATGTGAGACATTTGCTAAGTGAGTTTTGCCCCATTTTAGAACCTTTCTTTCCACAGTTGTTAAGTGAATCATTGCAGTTGCTAAACCATCCCAAACAAATGGGATGTTTTACATGGTTGATAAGTGAATCTGGCTTCCCCAATAACTTTGGTTGTCAGAAGGTCGCAAAAGGGGATCCCATGACCTTGAGACACTGCAACCGTCAGAAATATGAGTCAGTTGACAAGCAAAGTTTGAGCATGTGATCATGGGGAGGCTACAATGGTTGTAAGTGTGAAAAATGGCCATAAGCCACTTTTTTTCCATGTCATAACTTTGAATGATCACGAAATGAACTGTTGTTAGTTGAGGACTACCAGCATGAGAAAAAATTGCAAAATAATTCCACCTTGTATTTTTTTTGTGCAAGTTGGACAGAGAGAAATTCAGATAGGCTTTCAAGCTTATATTAACATACTCTACAACAGGGGTGTCAAACTTGCGTCGTCACGGCGTTGTCACGTGATGTATTGGGACATTTTTCCCTTTCGCTAAACTGGGCGTGGGCGTGGCCAGCACATGACGCATCTGGCCCGTGGGCTGGGAGTTTGACAGCCCTGCTCTACAATAAAGTAGCATTCCTGGAACCTCTACAGCAGGGGTGTCAAACTCGATTTCATTGAGGGCTACATCCGGGTTGTGTTTGACCTGGGAGGCTGGGTGGGCGTGGCCAGGATGGGCGTGGCCAGCTCAACATCACTTGTGTTGGGGGCACCTGTTGTGGCCCAGGCAGGGCTGGGGGCATCCTTCTGCCAGCAATAATAGCGCTCAGGAGGGCTGCACGCTGGCAGAGACCTGCAGGAGGCTGTCATGACCGAAAACAGAGCTTGGGGGAGCTGCTGAGGCAGAGGCACCGCAGGCTGGTCCTTTGCTGTTTCCAGGGTGGCCTCGTGGGCCAGGTCTAAGGGCTGGATGAGGCCCACGGGCCTTGAGTTTGACACCCCTGCTCTATAGCGTTTGTTCCTTAACTTGGCCCACCTTAAAAGGCTGAAACTTCCCATCTTCCAAAATCATCGTCATCATCATCTTTTATTCATTAAACATGAAATTCAGTCAACTGAACATTTAAGAATGTGTCACAAATACGATTGACAGGTGCTAATGGTTGATACGGGTTGCTGCCAGAGTCCTAGGTATCAACCAAGTATCTTTTTAAAATATATGATGTTCTGAGTAGTGCAGTTTTTTGCAGTTCCACTGGTGTTATTGCAGGAAGCTGCAATTTCTTGATGTATTTTATAAAATTCTTGGACATGGTACCAAGTGCCCCAATTACAATGGGTATCACTGTTACATATCAGTGTTACGTCTGTTACCTAGGTATCAACCAAGTTTTTTTTCTTCTTCTTCTTCCTCTTCTTCTTCTTCTTCTTCTTCTTCTTCTTCTTCTTCTTCTTCTTCTTCTTCTTCTTCTTCTTCTTCTTCTTCTTCTTCTTCTTCTTCTTCTTCTTTTCTTCTTCTTCTTCTTCTTTTCTTCTTCTTTTCTTCTTTTTCTTCTTTTTCTTCTTCTTCTTCTTCTTCTTCTTCTCCTCCTTCTCCTTCTCCTTCTCTTTCTCTTTCTCTTTCTCCTTCTCCTTCTCCTTCTCCTTCTCCTTCCTGCTCATTGTCTCACTATCCAAGTGACTCTCGGCAAAATCAATGCCAACACTAGCTAGTTACAAGATGTGTGCTTAACAACTTGACCTTCCTCCCGTCTTCCTTTTCAGATCCTTACTCAGGACGCCTGGTTCTAGGCAACCTGTCCCAGTTTGAAGAAGGCTATTACCAGTGTACAGCTATCAACTCTCTTGGGAACAGCTCCTGTCAAATCGACCTCACTACAAAACGTTGAGTTTTGTCTTTTCTGCTCAATTTAATTTAATTTCCAATGTTTTAATACTATTTCTTGTTTAAACAAGCCCTTTATAGTTAAAAACTCAAGCATCCCATTCTTGAAGATGTTAGGGAACCAATGTTAGATCTCCTTGAAATTTAACAGAACTGGAATAAACTGGATTAAAGCATTTCCTTTTGGGCGAGATCCAACCTAGAAATAAGGAGAAATTTCCTGGCAGGCAAGAACAATTAATCAGTGGAATGGCTTCCCTTCAGAAGTTGTGGGTGCTCCATTACTGGAGGTTTTCAAGAAAAGACTGGTCAGTCTTTTGATCAGAGTAGTTAGTATCTCTGGTCATGCCGAACGGGTTGGACTAGAAGACCTCCATGGTGCCTTCCAATCCTATTATCAGGAGTTTTTCATCCTGTTGTGTTGCCCAAGGCAGAATGGCCAAGTTTGCACATAACACACTAATAAGACAAACAGACAATATGTATAAATCTTGCCAAGATGGATTAATCGCCTTTCCTATTATGTAGTCCACTCAGAAGTGTGAACTAGCTGCTTCACACCTTTGCCAAGGAGTTTCTTCTATAAATGACAGGAGTTTCTCTCTCCCTGCAGATTCAGAAAGTGGCATTATTGTGGGAGCATTAATTGCGGCAATTCTAGCTGCTGCCTTGATCTGTATCGTCGGTTGGATTCTAATCTCCAGAGAGAAGAAGAAGAGGAGAAAAGAGAAACCTATAGCCAAGGAAATGCAGTAAGTTTGTAGAGAGATTTTTTTGGAACAATGCTTCCCGCTTCTCTGAAATTTGTCCAAAACCAGGTTGGCTCATGGTTTTAATTCAGAGTTTGTTGGAACTATAGTTTAGCAAGTAAGTCACAAGTGTATTTTTCTCAGCAGAGGTGGCTGAGTTCCCATGTCAAGCTGTCAATGATGGTCCTAGAATAGAGTTGTAGAATCAGCCTCAAGTGGCTTCATACATCACTGGCTTCATATGAGCTGTGGTGGCACAGTGGTTAGAGTGCAGTACTGCAGGCTACTTCTGCTGCCTGCCAGCTGCCTGCAATTTGGCAGTTCAAATCTCACCAGGCTCAAGGTTGACTCAGCCTTCCATCCTTCTGAGGTGGGTAAAATGAGGACCCAGATTGTTGGGGGCAAGAGGTTGACTTTGTAAACTGCTTAGAGAGGGCTGTAAAGCACTGTAAAGCAGTATATAAGTCTAAGTGCTAGTGCTATTGCTCTCACAGTAAGCTACAATCCTAGCGGACTAACCATAGCTGGTTCACCTTAAGCGCTAAACCAAATCCGACTTCAAAGCGTTCTTGTGGGGAAAATAGGAGGAGAATGAAATATTAGGTATGTTCACCACCTTGAGTTATTTATACAATAAAAGATAGGATAAAAAAAATCAAAGAAAACCTTCCCAATTCCCAATAAGTAGCAAAGGATGTAATCCCAGGCTAAGAATTGTAATTTATATGGACACATAAGGAACCAAGTTGAATTTATGAGTAACCAGGCAGATTGGTGGATTATTAAATTAATGGAAGATCAATAAAGAGAGATCCAACTTAGAACTAAGAAATTTCCTGACAGCGAGAACAATTAATCGTTGGAACGACTTGCTTCCAGAAGTTGTGGGTGCTCCATCACTGCTGTCTTTTAAGAAGAGACTGGACAGCCATTTGTTTGGGATGATATAAGTGTCCTGACATGAGTAGGAGGTTGGACTAGATGTCCTCCAAGATCCCTTCCAACTCTATTATTCCATGTTCTATGTCAGCAGGTAAGTAGGGCTAGACTGTTCATTCCTTCATGGGGGACTGTCTAGGCTATTGGGCTAGTTGACTAGACCCTTCAAGAAGATAGTGAAGACCCTTCAAAAAGACCACCTCAATAACATTGCCAAATAAACTGCATGTAGGCTGAGAGTGAAACTTGAGGGCATATAAAAGTATAGAAATATAACCAAGTTGGATTAGCCTAAAAGGGTCATTGTAACCTTCTCCAACTTGGTACCTCTTTTTGCCCTGGACTTCAACTATCAGCATTGTGCCAGATACCCAGGAATGATGGAGTTGAAATCTAAGACCTTGAATTGGGAAAGAGCCTTGGTAGTACAGTGGTTTAATGCACCCTGTTATTAACACAGCTGCCTGCAATTTCTGCAGGTTCAAATCTTACCAGGCTCAAGGTTGACTCAGCCTTCCATCCTTTCTAAGGTAGGTTAAATGAGGACCCAGTTTGTGGGGGCAATAAGCTGACTTTGTATAAAATATACAAAAGTATGAAAGCTATTGCTTAACGCATTGTAAGCCGCCCTGAGTCTCCGGAGAAGGGCGGCATATAAATCAAATTAAAAAAAAAAAAAAAGATTACCCCCACTGAGGTTTTTGATAAAAGAGTTGTTAGAACTCCTACAACATGCTGCATCAAGAAAAATGCATGTTTGTCTAAACTTTTCAATTGTCTAATATCTCTGTGTCTGTGAGAGGAGATTCACTTCCAAGGGGCCACGGAGGGAGGGGCGAGGTAAAAGGCTACAACCCTTCAAGGAGGCAATGGCTGATTTGGGGCATTTATCATTCCCCTCCAGTAATAACATCACCCTGTTCTTGGTCCTGCAGGACTGTAACTGGCTTTTTGGAACCAACATGTCCACGTTGGCAATCGAAGCGTGTCTTTAGCCCACGTGGAAATTTTAAGAAGGGGAAGAGAGAGAAAAAGAAAAAGGGGAGGGGGAAGGGGGAGAAGAGGAAGAAAGGAAGAACGGAAGAAGGAAGGAACAGATGAGAAGGAAGGAAGGAAATGGAAAGAAAGGGATAAACAGGAAGGAAGGAAAGAAGAAAAACGGAAGTAGGGAGGAAGATGGAAAGACAGAAAGGATAAACAGATGAGAGAGGGAGAAGGAAATGGAAGGAAGGAGAAATAAAAAGATAAATACTGTATTATCCATACAGTATTGTAGTATTATTATTCATCCTTCTTACCTTCTTTACTCTTATCGGTATTATTATGATTACCATTATTCTGTTGCTTTGCATATACACTGAGAGCTTCTGCGCCTGAAACAAATTTCTTGTGTGTCTAATCACACCTGGCCAAATAAAGTATGTTGAGCCTGGATAGCTCAACAGACTAAAAGCCTGTCATTAACATTCAGCTGCCTGCAATTACTGCAAGTTCGAATCTCCCCAGGTTCAAGGTTGACTCAGCCTTCCATCCTTTCTAAGGTAGGTAAATTGAGGACCCAGTTTGTGGGGGCAATAAGCTGACTTTGTATAAAATATACAAAAGTATGATTACAATTGCTTAACGCATTGTAAGCCGCCCTGAGTCTCTGGAGAAGGGCGGCATATAAATCTAATTAAAAAAAAAATAATTCAATTCAATTCACCTTTGTTTCTTGTTGTTGTTTTTTTTTTTGCAGGCCTATGGCTGCAAAGGCGGAATACGCTGCGGTGCCCAGCCAAGCCAGCGTTCCCATGGCTGCCGTCCCACCAAACAAGGATCCTAATGAGACCGGAGAACATGATAGCCCGGGAGAAGCCCAAGTTGCCATATTGCCTGAAAATGAGACGCAGGAAATGGGCCATCAACCAGTTTCCTAAAACCAGCAGTTGCCATTGGGGGAACCCCAAAAAGCAGCCCATCTAATCACGAATTTGTACATTGATCCCACATCTGTGTCTTCCAAATAATGTCACGCTACCATTTACTGTATTTTTCAGAGTATAAGACGCACCTTTCTCCCCCCCTAAAAGGAGGTGAAAATTTAGGTGTGTCTTATACACTGAATGTAGCCCCGCCCACCCACTGGCCCCCACTTTTTGGCTTCTGCCTCCCAGCAGTTTACCTCCTTGCAAGCAAACAGCAAGAAGAAACAGCTCCTTTCAGCTTCAGCACAGCCTAATTAGCACAAGTTGATTGGATCGGCCTCCCGACTCTCAGCTGATTTGCTCTCAGCTGTTTTGCGCAGGGCTCTGCTGTTTGCTGCAAGGAGGTAAATTGCTGGGAGCAGATTTTTTTTTTTCCTTGTGCTAATCAAGCTATGCTGAAAACAAAAATGAAAGTAAAGCAGGCTGTTTGCTGTTACGAGGCAAAATTGCTCAGAGGCAGAGGGAGATTTCTTTTTCTTCTTTTCCTCACCAAAAAAGGTAGGTGTGTCTTATACTCTGAAAAATACGGTACATCTAGCCATCTGAGATCAATTTCTCCAGCCTTCTGTCCATTTCACATGAGCCCATAATCTGACCAGATTCGCACCTCACCGAGATTATCTAAAACTATGATTTATTGGATAAACCACAGCAGCCGGGTACCTCAATCACAGAGGAACACGCAGCCCTGGGACTGGCTAGTGTCCTGAAAGTCCTCCCTTCGCCTTTTAATTCATTTTAATAACTGTTGCCTATTAAATTCCTACCCTTCTTTTAAATTTTTTACTTTTATATATACCGTTTTTATATTTTAACATTTTCACGTGCAGAGTCCCTCTTTGCAGATTTCTGAAAATGTGAAAAATAAAGTACAGGTAATCTTTCATTTACAGTATGATCAGTCACTTAGCTGCTCTTTGAAGTTAAGACAGAACCCCAAAACGCTTCTTATGATTCAGATTCTAAGTTCCGGGGTCTCCTCACAGTCAAGTGACTGCATTTTGGGCCCTTGACAAGCAGCTTGTATTTAACAGCTGCTATACAAGTTTTAACAGGGACACGGTGGCTCAGTGGCTAAGACGCTGAGCTTGTCGATCGAAAGTTCGGCAGTTCAGCAGTTCGAATCCCTAGTGCCGCTTTGAAACGGAGATGAGCACCACCACCCCTAGAGTCGGGAACGACTAGCACATACGTGCGAGGGAAACCTTTACCTTTACCTTTTACACAAGTTTTAAAATTGGGTGCAATCGCATGGTGATCCATTTTATGACTGTCGCAACTTACCACCAAAGCTGCAGGCTCAATTACAATGTTGTACTGGTCTAATCCAACTGTCCAGTCACATACTGTAATTAACCCTAACGAGTGGTACAAATAGTTTAATTTAGAGTTCAGTTGGTTGCGCGAACCCCCCCAAAATGGTATGACTTTACCAAACTGCAGACAAATTGTTTGAATGCAACCACTTATTAAGCACAAGGTGTGAATCTCACATATTCAACTTGCTACTGTTAGTTAATTAACCCCCTCCTGAGCTGCCTGTCATGCTCACACTTAGGACTCTGCGGTGCTTTGGATTCAAGTCCACAAAAGATATTTGGGAGAGAGACCGGGTGCCTTGTCTGCAACGCTTTAAAACAGCTCTGACTTATCCCGGGGCGAAGCAGCAGTACGAGTAGTCCTCAACTTACAACAGTTCGCTTAGTGACCGAAGTTACAAAGGCACTTAAAAAAGGAATTATGACCATTTTTCACACTTTATCACCATTTCCGCATCCCCATGGTCATGTGATTTGCATTCGGATGCTTGTCAACAAGTTCATATTTATGACGGCTGCAGTAGCCCAGGGTCATGTGATCCCATTTTGCGACCTTCCGACAAGCAGTCAGTGGGGAAGCCAGATTCACTTAACAACTGTTACTAATTTAACAACTGCAGTAATTCACAAAGGTGGCAAGAAAAGTCGTAAAATGGGGTAAAATTTCCTGTAAGTTAAGGACTACCTGTAGAAGAGACAAGGCTGCTTTAAAAGTTGCAAAGAATGCTATAATGCACCACCCTATTCACCCAGCATCTTTTCTCATTGTTCGAATATTTTAGCCACCATGCTTAATCCTAATTCCCCCCTCCCCCCCAAGAAGGCATTGTCAACCTCATGAGCTTTCTAGAAGCAGCCTCAGTTAGTAAAGAATATTTTTTTCTGTAACTTGCTTTTGGATACCCGGGGTTTGTTTTTTTTTAAAAAAACCAAGGAGTAACACATGCTTACTAGTCATTGTTCAGCAAAGACCTCTGGTGTAGCTTTTCTAATGTAGAACAGCATGAGAAGAACAGGGAGGTGGCTTGATTCTTTTGTTACTTCAAAGAACAATAAAATGTTCATCAGATTTCTCTTCTGTTGTGTTTCTGTGATAACGAGAATGTGTTACGAAGCTGAAAAATAACTTGAGGACATGAGGATGCATTCTGTAAGAGCGCTATAATCGGACTAAGAGTTGTAGCTATAACATTCCGTTATCTTCAACTTTCCTGCTGCGGATAGGTAATGCTGCATAACCTCAAACCAACAAAATAGTGAGGTTGGAGTAGAAAAACACCAACATCACAACTGGAAGTTCATGATCACTGATGGTATTTGCAACACCTTAATATTAAGGGCTTTGGTTTAAAGCAGTTTCTCCACATTAGCGTGTATGGAGTTCAAGTCCCAGAATTCCCTTGCTCAATCCTGAAATCCACACATCTTAAAGTTGTCAAATTTGAGAAACGCTGGTTTAAAATACTGTTTTAAGTATTTAGTATTTCTGAGCTGTGGTGCTGGGGAAGGCTCCTGCATATTCCTTGGACAGCAAAGGAGAACAGACCTGTCACTGTAAGGAAAAATCATCAAACTGTGTCTCACTTAATGTCTATAGAGCTGCTCAGTCATCCAGGTCATGGTTGTCCCAAAGGTCCTTTTTCAAGAGGCAACTGGACTTTCTGGTTTCTCTTTGAAGATGTTTTGCTTCTCATCCAAGAAGCTTCCTCAGCTCTGATAATGAGCTCTTGGATAAGACGCAAAACGTCTTCGAAGAAAAACCAGAAAGTCCAGTTGCCTCTTGAAAAAGGACCTTTGGGACAACTATAACCTGGATGACTGAGAAGCTCCACAGAAATTTAGCGCTGTGTCTCACTTATTTTGGACATGTCATGTGGGGCAATTCACTAGAGAAAGCAATTATGCTTGGAAGAGTTAGCAGTAAACAGGTCACCAAAGAACACGGTGGCTTGGTACCATCAAGCTGACACTAGCCAGAGCATAAAACAACTCAAAGAAGTATGTCAATGAAGACTCAACCGTCCAGGCCAAAGGTTGAATCATGGCAACTGGACCAAACTTTGTTAATCTGAGAGGTTTCGTGGCTCATCCAAGCAACTTCATCAGCAACTTCAGAGCAAAATTAATTTAACAAAGATTAACAAAGTTTGGTTCAGTTGCCATGATTCAACCTTTAAATTCAAAAGAAGTAGTGCAAGATCAGAAAATGTGCCCCTCAAAGAGTCAGACACAACTAAGCAGATAACATCATCATCATCATCGATAAAAATGTTATTTAGTATTTTAAGGCTTCAGGAATACTTAAAAATGGTCTTGAACAGTAATTCTTTTAATAAGTAGTTTGCTGAAACCAGAAATTAGCCACATAAGGTCCTGACAAGTAAATCCAAGGAGTTCCACAATGTCAACTACATTAGCTTTTATTCACAAGGAACAATTTATGTTACCTGCACCTTTCCCGAACTAAGTTTAAATCTATCAGCTTTCTATCCGTAATGCCCCGCTCCCATCACGTACGGCATACAGGGGGTAGAAGGATGAAGCCAAAGATACTTGCAAAAAGGTTCCAAAAATATTGCAATAAAAAAACCCAGGGAGCCTGTTGAAACCAGTGACCCTCCAGATGTACAATCCCAGAATCCTCTACTGCTGGCAGTTGGCTACTGGGAATTGTAGTTCAGCCACTTCTAGAGGGCAAGAGATTCTGCAGCTTTGAATTTTGGCCAGGCTTGCTTAATTTCTGAGCCACCAGACGTGAGCACCAGCTTTTGACTTTTACTAAATAACCAATGACCTGAAAGAATAAAGCAGGGATCCCCAACCCTGACCCACTACTGGGCCTTGAGCTGTTCAGAACTGGGCCGCAGAAGTGGTGTGCATGCACACATCTCCACTTATGTGAGCAGCATGCGCTCCCCTTGCACAAGTGGCAGGTGTGCGTGTCTGCCTCTCGCGCAAATGGAGCTGCACGTGTGTACATGCTTCCCCGCTGCTCTGCGGAACCATCCCTTCCCCCCACCTGCCGGGCTGCAAAGCCGGAAAGGTTGGGGAAGTCTCGAACACAGGAGCCGCTTTTACAGGTAAGAGTCTTCATTTTATTTACCCCTTCTTGCAAGGCGAGACATCAGATTCCTTTTCTATATGAAAGCAGACGGAAAGAGCTATCTTGAAATTGCTCTCTAACAGGGCAACAAGATTTGGCAAAAAACAGTAATAAATTCTGCTAACACAAGGGGACTTTTGGAGAAGGGTCACATGGGAAAGTAGAAAGCAGCTACAGTGCAATAAAAATTCAAGTTGTAACATGTTCAGACTGATTTTTTTTTTTAAAAAACCCTCTTATGAACAGTCTTTAATAGCTTTATGGAGAATGGAATTTAGGGTGCTCACAGCAGCTACCCCTCAACCAGCCTTCTGAGGATGGAGGCCAGCCCTCCTTTCGCAACCTTCAAAGGAGTCTTTTCTTCTTTGTTCTCAATGGTGATGCTCGCCCCGTGGGACACCAGGAGCTTCGCTTCGTCCACCCGCTCTTCATCGCATGCTAAGTGGCTGTCAAGGAAACCAAGAATTACTTCCTTTTACAGGCTCAGTTTCAGCAAAAGGCCCTTCTGCATATTTCTTTTTCTTATTATAGTTTTTTATAATCATGCCGGAGCAAGAGTTCTGCAGAAGCTAAAGGCTTGCCAATTTAAATTGCTTGATTGCTTTAATTGCTTGATTAAATTTATATGCTGCTTGTCTCACTATCAAGTCACTTTGGATGGCATATAAAAAATATGCCCAAATATATCTGCTGGATTTGTTTGGCCAAAACAGCTACTTTGGATTCTGTATGACATCTTTAAAAAAATTATTTTATTGAT